ACGCCCCTATATGTTGTTAAAGTACAAATAACTGCAATACGCCCCTATATGTGTGTTAAAGTACAAATAACTGTAATACGCCCCTATATGTGTGACAATTGCAGTTTTCACTCATGCATTTAAAGCGCTTGCCATATTTGTATATATAATAGCCAAATGTTTGTCACGCTCTGTAACTCCTGGGTTGTAAATCATAGAAAATATATATATATATTAAAATTATTCCTTTTCAATAGTATATTACAAGACAATTATTCATTTTTTGCAATTCTTAAAATTTAATATCGATATCAACATCGATCTGTCAGTCTTCATATGTGGTGAACCGTTAATTTGAGAAAAAACTTATTAAAAACAAAAATGTTTCTTTTTTTGTGAGGGAATTTCACGAAAACAAATGGGACTTCCTCCATCGACTGATTGAAAGAAATATTTTGAGGATAGGTGCATGAATGGGGAAAACTACTGTATAAGAAAGGAACGTGTTTGAGTATATACTTGTTTTTGTTTGTTTTATATGTACCATGTCGGAATTATGTACATGCATGATTTTATTGTATCATGTAGAATAAATAGATTTGAATTGAATATCTTCCTTTTGACACTTCTTATAGAAATGACAACTGTCGAAAAGCGATTACTTTGGTAGCGGTCTTGTCTTGCGCTTAATAAAGGACAAGAAACGGTGGCATCCAGCGGAAAACATCCCCACAGATACTTAGCGAACCTGAGCGCTTTATTGTGTTGGATGCATCCATTGCATCGAAATCAAAATATTTTTGCCAACAATGCATTGCAGTCAGTCTCATTTGCTTAAAATCAAATGCAATACAATTTTCCTCATTCAAATAACACATGAAATATTGCATATACGCTATGATCCAAGGGGTTGGGTTGACTGCACATTTTATATTTATTCGTCACTATTTTTTAGGAAAATTACCATTGAATTGTTTCAACGGGCATCTGCTAGTTACGTTTAATGGAAAAAATGTCTTCTTAAAATGAATTATATATATATATATATATATTTATGTATATATATATATATAAATTTTTTTGACGAATTCTTTACATGTTTCTAAGATTGGAAAACGTTCAAATGCAAAATAAAATTCATTTTAAGAAGATATTTTTCCCATTAAAATATGTCTTCCTGCTTATTTTTTGTTTCATAAATTCGCGTAAAGCTACATAATGGCTATCTGCGCTAATCAAAAGCACCCACCGCCAACTGTTGGGCTACTGTAATCGAATAGTTGGATATTTCACTTTTCTCTTAATACGCATCTATAGTCCCAAAAGGCGGAGCACACTCATGCGGAAACAGAAATGTGAGCCCCCTCCCAGTGGCACAGTGGTATGTCTGCGGACTTACAACGCTAGAAATCGGGTTTCGATACCCGTGGTGGGCAGAGCACAGATAGCCCATTGCGTAGCTTTGTGCTTAAATTCAAAACAAACAAACAGGCCACGTCCTGGCTATCTTAAGAGAGAACGTTACGTTTTTGTCTTTATACAAATCAATCAATGGGCTGTTTATTTGACTGAGAAGTTGGTAATATTTATGATTGTAACGATAACGACAAAAGTGGAACATGTATATCACAAGCTCAAAAAATAAACGAAATTCTCTCTCACTTCAGCACAGCTGTTGAGACAAGTATACCTGCGAGCTTGTATTACTGCTGCAACTACATAGATCGTACAAATAAGTCTCGCGAAAGCTCAGCGAATAGGAATACATTCAAAAAACAGACATGCTATAAATACTGAGTTTTACATTTTATTTTACGTGAGTCGTAAGTGCTAACTTTGAACATTTGTATAAACGAACTAGTTAGTTCATGTTATGAGTGACACAAGCTCTGTTTACTATATTAGTCTTAGCAAACGTCAAGATAGTTTATCATGATGACAAAAAAATAAAACAGTGATGGATTTCAGAGTGTGAGTATAATAAAATAATGGCAATTATAAAGACACTAGCGAAAACACCCGGCTTCGCTCGGATTATTAGGTTGATTTATTCTAGATTACTATGTCAGCGTGTTTATTCTGTACCCATTTTAGCATAAAAGTATAGCCTATATATATTAGGTCGTCAAGAAATTAATGTTACTTTTTTTAGATGACAAAAACCCGAACAACTTGTATATCAAAACAAAACATTTATTTTCCATTTTACATTCAGGTTGTTAATACCCTGATTAAAGAACTCACTTGGCTTTAAATAAAAAAACATGTCAATGTCCTCATTAACA